TTTGAATTCAGGTTTTTTTGCTTCTCTTAAACAGAAACTGGTTGCTACCCAAGGCTAGAACCCGATCTACCCTACTACTTTAGCGCATAGCTGGGGTGGGATGAAATGGATTCATGCCTTTCCCAAAGAAAACATGAACTCGACAGGCGATGCTGGAATTTGATCTCTGCATCGCCGATTTTACTTTCTGCGCTGATTAGCGTTATGCTATACTGCAGTCTTTGTTGTTGTTGTAGTAGTAGTAGTTGATAGTATTATTGTAGTAGTAGTAGTATAGCAATAGTAGTAATACTAATAAAAAGTAAGGAAAATAATAAACAACCATTGAAATGACACATAAGAATCGAGGAGACTATTTTGCATTCTTCATCACCACGTGTCGTCCACATAGAATGGAAGTTTAATTCTTTATTTTCTTCAGTCAATTTATTCTTCGTCGTTTTTTCTCTCTCTCCTCTTCTGTTACTCTCTTTCTTTATTTCCCTCTGTCTCTCTCTTATTTGTTCTTTTACTCTCTTTCAAGACCATTACTTTCTTTTTCCCCACCAATCTAAGACTCCCCCCCTCCCCGCGTCTTGAATCTGCCAGTTTTTAAAAAGAAACAATACAGGAGGAAGAAGGGAGAGGAGGAAAAAAGAAAAGAAAAAAAGATACATATATTCCTTCCTTCTTTTCTTTCTTCTTCTTCCTCCTTTCTCTCCTTCCTCCTCCCCCTCTCTCGTTTTTACAATAACACCCACTCTGTTTAAATTGCTCTTTCTCCCTTTCTCTGTTTTTAAAGCTTTCATTTTTATAAACATCTCTCTTCATTAACAGTCATGCAAAGTATATATTTGTTTTCTCCCTCGCACTGTTATCGTGTGTTCTTCTTGGCCTTTTCCAATAAGGCGGGGGGGAATTAAAAGACTCTGACAAGCCAATTGTAGCAGTTTTACTGTACGAAGACCAAAAATGCATTTCAGGACCCACAATGTTGCTTTTAAAACTGGCGACAGGGAAGATATTTAAGAAAAAAGGGGTGTGTAACCCCCCCTTTTTTTTACCAGTCATAATTAATTAAACTAAACATGTCCTGAGCAATGGGAGGGTTTTTTTATCCCAATAGGACTTTCTGTTCACAATGGAAATAATATCGTTGTTAAGAAAGAAAAAGAAAACCCTCACCTGACACGGGTTTTCAGTGCTGTCCTTAAATTGCTTATTTGAATCTACATACCAAGAAGAAGTTAGTCAGGTTTAAAAAAAAGGGAGTATCTGTCTGTTACAAAAAGAAAGAAGAAAAAAAAAATACAATTCTTCATCGTATGCTTTTTTTTTTTTTTGTCCAAGAGATATTTTTAAATTAAATGCGTTCTTATGAACAATCGTTTTTTTTCCTTAGTATCTGGATCTAAAATTCATACAAGCACCTGAACTCCTTCTCCGGCTGTCTCTTCTTTAATAGTTCAACCCTGGAATAACCATATTTATTTACCAACAAAACTACGTTGGACATTATTTTCGGTTTATCTACACCCATGACAAGCACATGCTGCGGCATGACCATTTTCGGACACAGACTGACCAACAAAAGAGAAGGAAAAAAAAAGTAATTCTGAAATAGACTTGTCTTTCATTTTTGTTCACTTTTTTGGATTATTTAAAAAAATATCTTTCTCACCGGGATTATTTTTAAGCTTCTTTTTAAATATATATTTCTTTCTCTGGAACTACCATTTCTAACGTTTGTATACCAATTCTTTTATATCAATTAAGTATTTTTTTGAGAAGCCACTCTGAGTAACATCAAGATCTCTTCTCTCTTGTGAGCGTCAGCTTAAAAGCATTGTTAATTTTATGTTTATTAATTTTTAAATTGTTATAAATTATTTGCTCCCTCACCTTTTTAAATTTATTTGTTATCTCCTGAAAAAATTTTCTCTTTTTGTTAAAAAAAAAAAAAAAATTCTACCCAATAACACGTGTTTCTTTAAATTGGAATGAATAGCTTTTTGTACCGCCAAACTAATTAACATCCTTAATTAAAAATAAGACTTGTAAGTCATTTTATTGCTAAATCAAAATAATCCTTAACCTTGTACCTTTGCATAATTAATCCACCGTCGGAATTTTAAAACCTATGCAAATCTGGAAAAAAAAACAAAACATTTCTTTTCCTAACTGTTCGCTGCTTAAACTGTGATTGATTTTTTTTTTTTTTTTTTAAAAACTAAATGAAAAAAACAAATCCTGACTCCCTATTATTATCCCTCCACTTAAAAAAAAAAACATAATTCTGAATAAAAACAAATCATTTTACTAAATCTTTCTACTTTAAGATATCGATCACTAATGATCTGTGAAGAAGATTGTCCATTATTATCCGTGACTATTTTCTAAGGTTTTTATCATAAACTTCATAACGCAGTCATTTTTTTTTTTTTTTTTATAGATTCTTTAAAATAAATCATGCGAATCGGGTTTTGTTTTTGACATCTGCTATTCAAAATTACAATTTAAAAAAAAAAAAGTCTAAGTAGTAAACTACCCGCCTTTTTTTATTATTATTACAAGAATAAGACTTGTTGCCCCCCACGAGAAAAAAAAAAAACTAATTTTATTTTTTTTCGGTTAAATTAAAACTTTTTTTTTTTTTTTTTTTAAGTAAAAACTTGCACGCAAAATCTATTTCCTCAATTATAGTCTAACTTAAATCTTTTTTCTTTTATTAAAGACAATATTAGTGTTTCTTTGAAATTAAAAAAAAAAAAAAGTGATTTTTTTTTTTTTTTTTTGTCAATAAAAAAAAAAAACAAACTTCGATCTAAAAAAAAAAATTAATTGGCTAAAGTTAAAAAAAAAATATATATTAAAAACTATGAAACGGACTTGTTCAAGAATAAATATCTAGTTTTAAATTTAAACTAAAGTTAAAAAAAAAAAAAATACCCGGCCAAAGCAATTTTGTTTTTAAAGACTAGTAAATCTCGTTTATACTGCCCTGAATTTAAAAAGGTAAATGTTTATTTATCAAGTTTTTTTTATGCATCGACCATAAACAAAATAATTTCTCTTTTAAATTTTACTTCATCTAATTAAAAATATACTTCTGAAATTTTTAATTAGTTACATTAAAAATCTGGGCCTTAAAATAATTGTTTACATTTATTTTAAATAAAATCAAATTTGTTTCTGCTTGTGTCATTAAATTTGACACAACGTTTGAACTTTGAATCATCTGTTCAACAAAGTCTTTAGCATTCTTTTCTTTTTATAATCAAACTTTTCATCGTTCCAAAAGGGATTTGAAAATGAATAAAATAACACCTTTTTTTTTTTTTTAATTAGTAAGAAATTATACACTTTATCCTAAAGTCTTATTTTTTTGTTTTGTTTTAAATCTGTTATCTTCCCCCCTCTAAAATGACATTATCCTTTTTTTTTTACACAAGTAAATCTGAATAAACCTTATTTCTAATTAAGACATTCCCACTAATTTGTATGCATTAAAAACGCAAGCTTATTTTTTCCAAATGTCATTCTATGCAAAAATTACTTGAGTATTTAATTAAAACTACAATTTCTAAATTACGTCATAAAGCTGATTTATTGCAATAAAATCCCGATTATCTCTTAATCATTGACTCTTTTAAAAAAGTAAAAAAAAAAAAAAAAATGACTTTAAAAATGTTAAAACCCCAATAAATGTATACAAAGCTTAAGTTTACAATATATTTTTTATTTTAATTTTTAAAATTCTTAAAATTTTTTAAATATTTCCTTTCATATTGTCATTTCCTTTCCTGACGCAAGATTTATAATTGGTTGTGGTCGACGAGCACTCCTATGTGAACTTTGACTTTAAACAACAATCTAACCGTTTATTTGTGGGTAGGGGGGGAAAATGACCCAACAGCACCTTTGCCCTCACCTCTATTCAAGACTAGCTGCAATTACAAAGAAAACTTTATTCACCCCTGCCTGATGATGTGTGACCAACGTTTTGTTTTCACCTGTAACAGGTGAGAAACGAGTTTTTTTTTTCTTTTTTTTTTCTCCTCCCTACTTCCAAAGTAGTAGTAGTTCTTGTAAATGTAATGGCTTTGGACTTAATCAATAGCTACCTGTGTCACGGGCCGGGCTTGCCTTTTTTTCATTTTTTTAATCCTTTTAAAATGTCTCGGATTTCTCTCTTAAATACCTTACCTGGGGACATTATTTCGTAAATACAGGTGAAACAGATTTTAAAAATACATTTATTTACATAGTTATTTTTTTTTTATTATTATTACACCTGAACTTTTTTTTTCCTTCAGGAGTAAATAAACAATTTCGGTCTGAGTAATTTATTTATAATTTAAAAAATAAAAATCCTATGGATTTTTGTCTTTGGCTGTAGGATTAAAATTCATATACATTTTTTTTTTTTCTAAAAGTAATATTGATTCAAAACTGTCACAACTTTTCAAGTTTTTTGCAGACTTATCGATACTCCAATTAAGTTAAAAATCAAATCCCTGTTTTTATAGTTTGCTTGTTTCCATTTTGGAGAGGTGGTTGATTCCATCCTGACTCGGAGAGAAAAAACAAAAACAGATAGAGGAGAAAAAATTTTCCTAGATTGTCTATTAAACATGTTTTGCTACTAAAACAACAATTTATAGCCAATGTATTACTTTTCTTTCTTTTTTTTTTTTTTATATTTAATTAAAAAAAAAAAAAAAAATATAATTGGTATGCAAGTTAAAAAACTTTAAAAAAAAAAAATCTTCCACAATTTAACATACTAAACTAAACAAAACAAAGAAAGACAAAACTATTTTGAAAAATCTTTTATAAAAAAAAAAAAAAAAAGTTAGTTTAAATTACCTTGGAGATTTTTCTTCCCTACCCTCCCAATTAAAAAATTCCTTGGATTTTTTTTTTTTTTTTTTTTTTTTGTGTGTGTGTGTGCTTTCCAAGCAGGAAGGGCATTTACGTCCGGACAACTTACCATCTCCCAATTCTCCCAATTAGGCATCATGGATTGTGCTGACGCAGAACCGTCCACGACCATTGTTGGAACCGGATCAGACACGATCTTGGTTCTGGAACCAAAGTCTTTCAAACCATTCAAAAGCAAAGATGAGTATCTGTATGCTATGAAAGAAGACATTGCAGAGTGGTTTACATGTCTCTATAATTGTTGCATCACAGTGGACAATTTCTTCGAAGTTCTTGAAACTGGTGTTGAGTTGTGTAAGCATGCTAATGCTGTACGTAAGTTTGCTCTGGAGCGTCAAGACCAGCTTGGTAATAAGTCACAGTTTGTCCGACACATTCCCAATGGAGAAATCCAGTACAAGAAAGCGGTGAAAGCCCAGACGTTTCAAGCGAGAGACAATGTGTCAAATTTTATCTCGTGGTGTCGAGACATTGGCGTACCAGAAGTTCTGCGTTTTGAAACGGACGATTTAGTTCTCCGCAAAAATGAACGGAGTGTTGTGTTGTGTCTTTTGGAAGTCGCTCGTGTTGGTGCCAAACTAGGAATGTTGGCACCAACGATTGTCCAAATGGAAGAGGAAATAGACGCTGAATTGGCTGGGGAACCACCCCCACCAACAAAACAAATTATTACCTGTGATTTGAAGTCGCTGGATGAAATGGTAAGTTAAATTTTTATTTTGATTGTTAAAACAATGATTTTGCCATTTTATAGTTTTGATTAGCTTTTTATATTCAATATGCCAAAAATTGATCTTGTACCAGACTTTGCTTAACCCAAAAAATGGATCTGAAATTCTAAAAGATTTGTTAATATTCAAAATTCTCAAACAAATATCATTGTACACTATTTACATTATTCGGACTATTGTCCTCATCTTTGTCTCCATGTTTATCACAATGTTTCAGCTGTTGTATGCTCCGGCCGAAACGTGATAAACATGGCGACAAAGATGAGGACAATTGTCTGAATAATGTAAATAGTGTACATAATATCTCATCTCAGAAATATAGACATACTGAAATATCCTTGTTTTTTATCTTAATGTATCTTGAGACAAGATCTCTTGACAATTCAATGATTCTTTTAAATTAGAATCCTCATATTATATACTTTTTTTTTTATTTATTAATGCATTTTGCATGGGAGAATTTCCAAGATTCTGAGTCAAAATACATGTCTGTTATTATTTACACATGAACTATTGTTCCTGTCTTTATTACAGTTTTGGCTGATATGCCCTTTGACCTTTCATCTAGTACTTGTTGATCTGGGTAAACTTCATTTAATCATTGGTTTACACTGTTCTCGTTATACTGCTAATGTTCAAGGATTTCTCTTTTAGTTCTTAAGTACTGCTCTAGTTAATCTTAGCGGATTAAAGTGTTGGTTTATGGATTTGCTGACATAGTAATTGTAAGTTCAATCCCTGGGCAAGGCAGTGAGTACTTGAAATCAATGGCAGCCAGGTGAGCAATAACTTAACATTACTAAATAAGAATCGAACACAATATCCTTGGGCAGTGGAACAAGGACAATTCCCAAAAATTAAAAAAAGGGTTCAGTTTTAAATTCTTTGAAGGTTACTTCGATTAACAAGCACCTGATGAAAGTTAGTGGACACAATGGCTGAAATGATGTAACAATAACAGCAAAGATGGGGACAATGGTCTGCATATAAACAATATCTGGGATTATTTCCCCATTTTAAATGGTGCCTTTGGTAAAGTTTCAAATGCTGGTAAAAAAAAAAACGATTTCAAATGTTGAATAGGTAAATGGGTAGACTTGACCAAATAAAATTTCTTTTGTTTGGCCTTGTGCCATACACAGCTAAGCTTTGTAAAATTTATAGATATAACCTAACTGTTGGTTAAGATAGTTGCTAATTTCCTTCAGGTATTCAAACTTGAGGAAAAAAAAAAAGCTAGACTTTTTATACCGACTATCATGGTAGACAGGTTCTAAACTTCAGTTACACTTTTATTTTCAAGGTCAAGTCTGTAAGGTAGTTATGACAAGATTGTTTAACCATGTGATGATATAGTTTGGTTTTCAAGTTGTTGTAAGACCTTACAAAATGTGTCAAAAGTACATCAAATGTGGTCGCCATTAAAAGAATTTTTGATCAGTTTTGACAATGGGTTCATGTAGAAGTTGAAATTAAGATACCATCAGTCCTAAAACACAGTTGCCATCAATTTCCATGTGGAGCATTTAGCCTTAAACAGGTGAGTTTATGTTCACGCTATACAATCTTTTACTATCTAGCCCATTGGGGTATAAATTTCCTACTTAGGTAAATGGTATATGTGTTGTGGAGCAAAAACATTTCAGCATCAACCCACCATCTACTCCTATAGTATTTTAGAAATTCATCTTTTTTAGAAACTGCACTAAACAACCAGGGTTTACTTGGAAGCTTTCTGTTTTGCCATATCAGCCTGCTGGACTTTGTTCTCATTTACAGGAGCAGCAGCAGGCCTGCCACTGTGAAGTCTTAAGCTAAAGTCAGTCTGATTTATCTCTAGATTCTCTGTAGAATTTCTATTATTTATTTATTTATTCTGTTTGAATTTTTGGGATGAGGAATTATCATTATTCACTCTATTTACATTTGGTATATTCTCCTCATCTTTGTTGTTGTTATCACAGCACTCACATCAAGTGTAGCCTTTCTATAAAATTTCATTAACCATCTATAAATGTTTGCAGTAGTTTTCTCAATTTTTTTAATAACTCTTTGATTACTCTATATTATATATTTGATTACTCTCTCTCACACACACACACATATATATATATATATATATATATATATATATATATATATATATATATATATATATACACACACACCACACGGAGGAGTTGCTATTTTGCAAGAGAATTAGTTGTAGGAAAAGTTAGCTCCAAAATTTTTTTTTTTTTTTTTTTTTTTGGTCAACTTGAACTATATTTTTACGGGGGTGGGGGAATAAGCAACAAACTAGGAATTATGATTGATGAATATTAGCCATTTCCTTATAAGGAAACATTTGACATTGATTGTCCAAGCTGCTAGTGCTACTGTTGTAATTTATAAAATTTTTCTCTTGAAACCATTTTTCAGGAAAGTCCAGTCGCTGTTATCACTCTTTCTACTTTCTTTCCTAAACTTTTATTTGAACTAGTGAGGAACATCAACATCTTGATTCTGTCAATATTTTTCTTTTAAGTTGCATGTACTATCCATTTTAGTTGTTGCCGCTATTGAAAGTCCTCAAATGATGTTTTTCTTATTTAGTACAGTTCTCTGTATGTGGGCACATCGCCGAGTGGTTAGAACGTTCGCATTTTGACCATGAAACTCTGGTTTGAATCTCACCAGGGTCGATTTGTCAGGAAGGAGACTTCCTTATGTTATTGGACTGGAGGGGGTTAATCCCAGTATGTGGCACCTTTGGAAAGTACCTGAAAACCATAGCCTTGTGAGTGAAATTGGGTAGATTGTACCCCTGGGGACTGTCAATAGCTGCACAAGCACAGTCACAAGTCATCGAGGGTTTGAGCATGCTGGCTTTGTTCAAGTTGTTGATCACACTAGATAACACACTTTTTCCCAGAAACTGTAAATAAGGTCTGCTCAGCATAGTTGCAGTATAAACCACATGTGGGCTCTGTGGGTGTTGAACAAACACAAAATGTGCCTGAACAAGCGTCTGCAACAGGGATTGGCTAACTTCCCTAGTAGACGGGTATCCTTGAATATGCGTAGCCAACTACGCAGTTCTTTGTTATTCTCTCATGCCAGTCCAGAAGGTTTGAAGATGTATGGTCCTCTCTAAGACATACAGTATTCATTTGCTCAAGACCATTTTTAACCATTGATCTTAGGAAGCAGTTGTATGCAACTGACAGTTTAGATATTTCAGATATGTCTGGCACCATGCATAGCATCCATATGAAAATTGCTATCTAACAAAGCTATTTAAGAACTTTACTCCTTTACTCTTAAAACGAGAACTGCTATCACTTTTTGACTAACCACTATATGTGTAGTTAAGTTATATTCTAGTCCTTAAACTAATTTTTGTCAATACATTTTTGCTAAAAACCAAAAGATTTGGAATTTGACTTGTTTATTGAAGGTGCCTTCGAATAGCCAAAGATGCCTTTCAAAAACTAAGCAGAGTATTAAGAAATAGAAAACTTTGTTGGAAACAAAGACGAGTACTGAGCTGTTATGTGATATATCCTCCTATATGGCAGTGAATGCTGGACAATCTTCTCAAAAATGAAGAGACTTTAATTGTCAGAAATGTGGTTCTACAGAAGGATGCTGAGAATACTGTGAGCCGGATGGGTGCGCAACAACAAAGTTTTAGAGAAAATTGAAACAAAAGGACACTTATACCTAAGATCAGGAAGAGGCGTTTAAAATTTGTAGGGCACATAATGAGGAAGGAAGGTTTGGAAAATTTGATACTCACAGGACAGATTGAAGGCAAGCGGGAGAGGAAAACAACACCTAACAAACTTAGTCAGCTTGAGTAAATGGATGGTGGAACAAGGTTTTATTAAGAGCTGCAAAGACAGGAAATTGTGGAGAGCCATGATTGTTTACACCCCAAAGGGGGGACAGCACATGAAAATGAAATTCCAAGGTGTCAAGACGGAAATATACTTTCATGTTTTTTACTCAGTTTATTTTGTTGGATTAATGTCCACTTCTTTATCAGAACATTTTGACCTTGTGCTTTTCAGCAGTGTTCAGGTGTCTGCCAATTCTGCCTAATTTTCAAGGGAATTTGAACCCCTTTATCTAATGGGTTTTGTCTCCTACCCAAAGTTATTCCTTGTCAGGCTTAAGCTCAAATCATTCTGATGGGTATAATGTTTGTTAAACCTTAGAAACTGTAAGGAACCTCCTACAATCCAAAATATGTTTTGGTTTTAAATAATGCACAAAGGGTTGATAAATGGTAAAAAAAAAAAAAAAATCAAAAATCAATGTGTTAATTCTCTGCATTTTTGTTGTGTGCATTTTTTAAATTCCCTTGCAGGTTGTCAGGGTCATCAGTTTTACCAGAGCACTGTCAGGAACTAGAAAATATTGGCTTGGCTGCTGGAGCTATTAATTTGAATTCTAGCATTCCCAAAATGAAAGGATGTAGACAACAAAATCTATGGAAGCTTTAAAAAGAAACTTTTTTGTGGGGACCAATGAAAAGGACCTGGATTTTTATATTTGGGCTGGGGGAATGTTGAAATGTGTTGATTCTCCAAGATCAAATTGCTAAGTTGATCTTTGAATATACATGTATATCTCAATTCCCAAAATGTAAGGATGTAGCCACCAAAATCTTGTCTATCATGCTGATAATATTTGGCTTTTGATAATGACACCATTCAAAAAGTAATTGAACAAACTCAGAAAAAAATCATGAACTTTTGACACTTTATCCAGAATTTTGATTCCAATGTACAAGAACTTTTTCCCAAAAATTGGGAAAAAGCAATAAGAAACCAAACAGGCCTTGTTTATTGATATTATTCTACTTTCTGTTGTCTCAAATTCTTATTAACCATGGATCCATTAATAATTCATATTTGCTGGTATGTATAACACTTTTACAGTCTTCTAATAGACGTTTCTTATCAGAAAATATTAGCATTGCCTTGGCTTGC